GCTCCGGCTGTGGTGGCTGCTGGCGGTGGCGGCGGCCGGGGCTGAGGGGGGACCCCGCACTCTGGTGCTGCTGGAGAACGGCAACCTGAGGGACACGCACTCGCTCTTCTTCCGCAGCCTGGCGGGTAGGGCTCAGGAAGGCGGCTGGGGACCCCGCGCCGGACTCGGGGAGGAGAATGGAGTTCCCTAGGGCTGAGGGGGGGGCGGCTGGGGTCCCCTGGTCAGGCTGAGGGAGGAGATTGGGGTTCTTCGTGGGAGAGGGGGAAGTTTGGGGTTCCGGGGTCGGGCTGAGGGGGGAGATCAGCGTTGTTTCCTCAGTCGTGCTGTGTTTCAGGTGCCCTGCAGCGTTGGTCCCCACTTGATGAGTGTCAGCGGGGCATCTTTGCAGCAGAGGGGATCCTCAGGGGCATGATCCCCCTTGGTTTTATGTGGGGACACCCCGGTGGTGCTCCCAGAAAACCCCTAAGCCACGTTTTCCAAAACACCCCTGTTTATTGGGGAAATAAAACTCAGGATCTTGATGCTGCTTTGCTGGTACATGTGCTGATTTTTTTTGAAATGTGAAAGTTGTCAGTTGTATCTTATGTCTGCAGACAGGGGCTTTGATCTCACTTTCCGGACAGCGGATGATGCGGGCTTGTCCCTGATAAAATACGGAGAATTCCTGTATGACAACTTGATCATTTTCTCGCCATCCATAGAAGGTAAATACAGGAGGGGAGAACTCATGTTCTTGGAGTTTAGTGGCATTTTTGGAAGGGGATTTCCAACTAGTTTGTGAATTTTAATTAAATCTTACGCTTTGGATGTTATCCTTTGTGTCTTGCATCCGGTAGGAAACTGCAGATACGTCCAGGGCTTTAATGGTGGTTCTTCCAGCTGCGAGATAAATTATTTGGTGTTTTGCTATGGTATTATTTCTGAGACCTAGTCATGAATTTCTGCTGTGTGCTTTCAGATTTTGGTGGAAACATCAACGTGGAGACCATCACCGCTTTCATTGACGGTGGCGGCAGTGTCCTTGTTGCTGCCAGCTCAGACATTGGTAAGTACAAACATTTGTCAGAGCAAATGAACACGTTTCAGCCGCTTCTTGTAACAGACACCTATGCTCCTTGTGCTCTGCGGTGAGCAAATAGTTTATTCATCCTTCTGTGAGTTCCTGCAACAAAACTGATGAGAAAACGTGGTTTCTCATTGTGGACCTCAAGGTCTGAGCTGTAAGGAAATGGGTGATAAATAACATTTATTGACATTTTGAATGGGAATTTAGCTGAGGGAGGTTGCAATATTTCTTGGGATTTGGCTTGTAAAGTGTTGAATGCGTGACTCTAAGCTGAATTTGCCTTTTTTGTTGAGTGCTGAGACTAGTGTTACGTCCCGAACGTGCCATGTAACAGAGAATCCATTTTGTCCTTCCAGGCGACCCGCTGCGAGAGCTGGGCAGCGAGTGTGGGATCGAGTTTGATGAGGAAAGGACAGCTGTCATCGACCATCACAACTACGATATATCTGACCCTGGCCAGGTAAACGGGTTTGCCTACATGTTTTGGGCTCTTTTAATGAGAGCTTAGGTGCAAAGGTTTTGGGATGAATCTTCTGTCCTTGTTTTCCCTTTTTTCCTTCATCTTTTCTTGGCTCTCCCACTTTCCTCCCAGGAAGGTCATAAATCATGCTGCTCCACAGCGTTCGGTCACGCTGCTGCTGGGAGCACTGACACGTGAAGCTCTGCATGTTTGGGTTCTCTGCTCTCAAATCCATCTTTCTAAATATCCTGGGTTTGATCTTTCAAATTATAGTTTCAAATTCCTGCCGTGTCTCGGACATTCACACCACGATTACTGGCAGTTTTGAACCCTCTGAGTGGATATGGGAAGGAAGATTATCAGTCCCAGAGATCAGTGTAGAAATGTACACATCTCTGTGAGGGTTTTTTTTCCCCATCGTGTCATCCAGTACTTCAAAATTCAAAACTCTGAACTAAATATATTCTAATTTTTATTTAAATTAAACCGTTGAAGCAGTATATGGATGTTGTCCTAGTTTAAGGGTGAAAGCTTCTAAATATGGGGAAGTAAAATACTGTAGGTATTGCTATCTTTATCAAAAGGTGGTTTAGATTTCCTTATGTATCAGTGTTAATTTGATCATAATTAAAAAAATGCTGGTTTTTTGCTTTTTAATTGAATTGCAATTTTAATCCAACAGCCGCTCAGTTTTAATTGCCTGTAAAAACCAGTTTACCTTTCAAATAACAAGAGAAGCTGTTGTTTCCTGTTAGAACCTGACAAACATCAACCCACCAGCCCGTTCACGCCAATGTCTCTTGTTTCTCCCAGCACACGCTCATAGTTGCAGACGCTGAAAATCTCCTGAAGGCCCCCACCATTGTGGGGAAAGCGGTGCTGAACCCCATCCTTTTCCGAGGAGTTGGGTAAGTGACTTGCAGCGCCGCGTAGGAAGGGAGGTGAGGTGGCTGTTGTCGGGGAAGCAGAGCAAAAATATTTTTCTTAATGTGAATTAGTGAAGCTTGACTATGTAATTTGAGGAAACATTTTATTTCTCGGTGTGTGCAAGCTCTGTGGTTGTCTTGCCACACCCGAAGGGTGAGGAGGTTCGTGCGGTTGAGCTGGTGCCTGTGTGGGTGTGGGGGGCCAGGTGTCTTGGTGCTGCTCACTGTGCCTCTCCCTGCAAGGATGGTGGCTGATCCCGACAACCCGCTAGTGCTGGATATCCTGACCGGCTCTTCTACCTCCTACTCCTTCTTCCCAGATAAGCCTATTACTCAGGTATGCTCTGTGATTTTTTTTTTTCCTCCTCTTTTGGTGAGTACTACTACAGAATCACAGAATCATCTTGGTTGGAAAAGACCTTGAAGCTCCTCCAGTCCAACCATGAACCTCACCCTGACCGTTCCCAACTCCCCCAGATCCCTCAGCGCTGGCTCAGCCCGGCTCTTCAACCCCTCCAGGGATCCCGGGGACTCCCCCCCTGCCCTGGGCAGCCCATTCCAACGCCCAACAGCCCCTTCTGCACAGAAATCCTTCCTCAGAGCCAGCCTGACCCTGCCCTGGGCAGCTTGAGGCCATTCCCTCTGGGCCTGGCGCTGGCTCCTTGGCTCCAGAGACTCATCCCCCCTCTCTGCCCCCTCCTGGCAGGGAGTTGCAGAGGGCCAGGAGGTCTCCCCTCAGCCTCCTCTTCTCCAGACTAAACCCCCCCAGTTCCCTCAGCCGCTCCCCAGCAGACCTGTGCTCCAGAGCTACGATTGAGTCCCTCAAATATCAGCAACTTGGGGAAAAAAGCTGGAGTGCTTAATCTGATTGGTTTTGAAAGGGTCAGGCTGTCGTCTGCTTTCTGACATTGCCCTGGAAATCTTCCTTGAATTTTAGTTGCTGGGAAAACGTCCATTGTGAGGGAAGCTTTGGAAGAAAGGCCAGCTTAGATCAAAGCGCATCTCGTTTCACTCGGAGAGAGCAGAAGCTGTGACAGCTGATACTGTTTCTCACAGGTGATTAGTGACAGAACAAGAAGGAATGGTTTTAAACTGCAACCAGGGAGGGTCAGACTGGACGTTAGAAAAAAATTTTTCACAGAAAGACTGGAATAGGCTGCCCAGGGAGGGGGTGGAGTCCCCATCCCTGGGTGTGTTTAAGGGCCGTTGGGATGAGCTGTGGGGGGATGTGGGGTAGGGGAGAACTTTGTCGAGTCGGGCTGTGGGTTGGACTCGATGACCCCGAAGGGCTTTTCCAACCTGAATGATTCTGTGGTTATTCTGAGCTTCTCAATTTCTACTTAATGGCAGTCTGTGATTAGCTACAGATTGTTCCACTCTCCTTCAATCACCCCTAATCTGGCTAAACGCTCGTCTAAACGTGCTCCTTTTCAGTACCCACACGCGGTCGGGAAGAACACCCTTCTGATCGCGGGACTCCAGGCCCGGAACAACGCCCGCGTTGTTTTCAGTGGCTCCTTGGATTTCTTTAGTGACGCTTTCTTCAATTCTGCTGTGCAGAAGGCTACTCCTGGCTCCAAGAGGTACGTTGGCTTCCTGGCGTCCCTGGCTGAGGAATATTTGGAGCGCTGGTTGGTGAAGAAAGTCCTGGGAAACAGGCAACAAATATTCACTTTATGGGAAAGGGCAGAAAGCTTGAATTAAATCAGGGGTGACATGTTTCTTTGTCCTCCTTTAAGCCTGGCTGGCTTTTTGTTTCTTTCGCATCTATTAATGGTTTGGGTTTTGGCACATGGTGTATTTTTTTCAGCACGGCTGCCATCCTTTCTCAACTGTCCTTCATCCGCAGGTACTCGCAGACTGGTAATTACGAACTGGCTGTTGCCTTGTCCCGCTGGGTGTTCAAGGAAGAGGGCGTGCTGCGTGTCGGAGCTGTGTCCCACCACCGTGTGGGGGAACTTGCGCCGCCCAACGCCTACACTGTCACCGACCTTGTGGTAAGGCTGCCTGCGGTGCGGGCAGGAGGGGACGTGGCACCTGAAAAAAGGGAATTTAGGAGAATTTGAGCTCGGAGTGGGTCAAGGTTTCTTTTCAGGCATCGCTCGTTAACTTCATGCCTCGTGGGTTTGTTCCAGGAGTACAGCATTGTCATCGAAAAGCTTTCCAACGGCAAGTGGGTCCCTTTTGACGGAGACGATATTCAGCTGGAGTTCGTCCGCATCGATCCCTTCGTGCGGACTTTCCTGCAGAGGAACGGTGGGTTCCCCTCGCTGCCCCCACCCCACCAGCTGGGCTCTTTTTTTAACGGTAGAACCTGCGGTGGCTCCCCCTGCTTCCCACCTCAACCCAACGTCGCTGCTGTTTCTTTCTCAGGCGGCAAATACAGCGTGCGGTTCAAGCTGCCGGACGTCTACGGGGTGTTCCAGTTTAAAGTGGATTATAACCGCCTGGGTTACACCCACCTCTACTCCTCCACCCAGGTAAGCGCGGTGGGAGTTGGTCACCAAGAGGGAAGGGTGCCCGGGGCTGCCAGGCTGACAGGGCTGTTCTCTCCCTTCCCAGGTGTCTGTGCGTCCCCTCCAGCACACGCAGTATGAACGGTTCATCCCCTCAGCGTACCCATACTACGCCGGCGCCTTCTCCATGATGGTTGGTCTCTTCATGTTCAGCATTGTCTTCCTGCACATGAAGGAGAAGGAAAAATCTGACTGAGCTCCCTGGGGGAGGAGAAGCCTTTTCCCCAGGGACGGACAGCGCCCGGGACCCGCGTTGGTAACGTGTGAGGACTGGTAGGTGCTGGAGACGCTGTGGATTTGCGTTTGGACTTTTTATTTTTACACACTGTGGGGAATTAATAGGAAAAAAAATGCAATTTGGGGGGGAAATCTGTCACCGAAGCATCTGCAGACATGGAACTGTGATGCCTTTTGTTGTTCCTTGATGACTCTTGCCCCGCTGTTGGGATGATTTTGATTCGAGATGAACTCCCTTCTCAAAATAAAGTCTCGTTCCTGTCACCCTGGGTTTGACATAAGTGAATTCACTGCGTGGGGCTTTCGGCTGCGTCCCTGGACCTGCAGGTGGCACTTGAGGGACACATCCCTGTGTGACCCTCGCTGGCGCGGGGTGTCCATGGGGTGGGCTGTGAGGGAACAGTCACACGGCGCTGAGCCCAGAGCACACCAAAGGGCAAAAAGCGGGGAGTCTGGGGTGTGTGGAAGGGCTTGGGGCACCCCAGAAAGCACACCGAGGGGTCTGGGGTGTCACCAAAGGCACACAGAGGAAGATGGGGCACCCCAGAAAGCCACGCTGTGCACTCCAGAAAGCAAACAGGTGGGTTCAGGGACACCCCTAAAGGCCTTGGAGCACCCCAAAAAGCACATTGAGGGGTCTGGGGGGGCAGGAAAAGCAGCAAGAAGATGCGATCCCCAGAAAATTGGGGTGAAAGGGAGGAGAGATGGAGTGAAGGGGGCTGCGGGTGCGCCTGGCCTGTTTCGGGGTGGACAACTGAGCAGTGGTGCTGGAGGGCCGCGGAGTCCGAGGCCCCGCTGAATACCGGGGCTGAATAAGGGGCTGGGGGCTTGGGGGGCCGCATTTAGGGTGCAGGGACCCCCCCTGGGTCACAGACCTCTCCCACGTGCCGCCGCAGGGCGGGGGAAGCGCCCTGTCCCGCCCGCTGATTGGTCGAACGTCCCTGATTGAC